TTGTTAAAGTCCTTCACAAATTGGGATTGACGTCTAATGCCTTATTTTTTTTTATTTACTTTTCACACACAGAGATGTACCACAGAACTTCCTCTAGTTCTACTGCTGTTAGTTTTTACCAGTATCCACACACCACTGTCTTAAGATCATTTATGTAATTCTCTAATTTATCACTGTACAAATTCTGTAAAAGCATCAGTGTGGTTGGTAGCTGCTTCACTGCTGCAATACGTTTGGAGTAAAAGGCACTTGCTAAACCCATAAATGAAAAGCCTCTGTCCCATTGTTCATAGTTCTATGTTGCAGAGCCTAAAATATTTTCACATCCAGCACTTCGTTCAAGTAGCTTCCAGTAGATTACAGTACAACCAGGCTGGAAAAAAAAAGTCAAGCAAGAAATATCAAAAGTATTTGGGCCTTTAACCTTATTACACATTCTGGGTAAACTGATAGTTGGAGCCTGGTCCTGCAACCCCTACTCATGTGAATAGTCCCACTAACTTCAGTCCAATCCTTTGGGTGACTGAGTTACAAGGTTTGGTCCCAGGTTCTCTTGAAACAAAATGCCCTGTCCAGCAAACACTTTTATACAATAGAACTACCTGCTTCACTTCAATGAGATGACTCTCCTGAAAAAAGGCTACTCACATGAGTAAGGGTTTACAGGGTTATGCCCAAAATCTGTTGCCTGTCCCTTTTCCTATGTTATGTATTTCACTCAAATATTTCTGACTGTAGAATAACATCACCAAGCAGGCAAGCTTGTGAGACTAAGAACTGATGTTTATCTGGCATAGGGAAGGGAAGAAGGGGAAGCCCAAATCATAGCGGGGAGACTAATGCAACACCTGTGCAGTCATACAGAGCTCTTGGTTCCCTGAAGTGCAGGGCTCATGTCAGCTCTTTGTTAAAGCTCCCAGTGCTCTGAAGCAGGGGTACGGTAGTCTGGAAAGGTTAAGAACCGCAAGTTTCATCTCACTTAAACTACTTGCTTATAAAATCAGACATAAAAATACAAAAGTGTCACAGCACACTATTACTGAAAAATTGCTGACTCATTTTTATCATCTAATTATAAAATAAACCAATTGGAATATAAATATTGTACTTGTATTTCAGTGTGATACTTGAGCCTGTTTTTTTTACTTGGTGGGCCTTGTCTAAAGCCTGAGCCTCAGGTGGTGGGGCTGAAGCATGTAACTTAACTTTATGGAGCCCCGGGCAGTTGCTGTGCTTGCCACTCCCTAACGCTGGCCCTGTATTTGCAATCCCCTTAAACCTGTCTCCTACCCCCCACCTGGGAGCTAGAGCCTTCAGATTGAGGAAACGCTGATCTAGATGGGTACTCAACTTCCTGGAAGACCCTTGTGTACCCCCGGGGTACTCGTACCCCTCGTTGAGAACCATTGCTCCGAACAGAAGAAGATCTGCGAAATAGCTCCATAGTGCGCAAACAAGCAACATATACCTAGCAGCCTGCAAAGATTAGGACCTTATCCATGTGCAGAGGATCACATTCTAAAGGGCTTGTCTAAATGAAGATTTAGTTTGTGGCAAGCTGGGGGGTGAATCTACTCCACACTTGCCTGCCCCACACTAAGTATCTATCCTGCTTTGAAACAGGACTAGATTAAAGCATACTTGCAAACTGTTAGTGCGTGTCAGCAGGGTTGTTTATGGGCAAGTAGTGCATGGCAAGCTAGTGCGAGGTAAATTCGCACCCCGGCTTGCCACAAACTAAATGCTCTTTTAGAGGAGCCCAAAGAAGAAGCCCTTTGTCATTCATAAACTTCCTTCCATGGCAGTTTTTTGCCTTTTGGTGTAGCAGTACAGTATCAGTAATATCTGAATTAATAAAGGCTATGGAGAAAAACCAACACGCTTTCATGGACTTTTAACTGAGACAGAAATGATCGTGTTAATTGTATTTATTTCTGTTTATATAACTTCCCAACTTAAGCCTACTGATGTGTGGAATCCGTAGATGTGAAGAAACAAATTTGGGGCAAATTCTGTCCCATTCCTGGAGAGTAGGAAGGACTCCTGCTCTGTCTGGACAGGTCTGGTTCGTTCCCACTGGAAGTTCAGTTAACAGTGACTTAAAAACAAAAAACACCCACCTGCATTGGTTTGTCTACACTACAGCTTCCTACAATGGAGCTGCACGAATGCAGTGGTGGAGAATATTAAGCCAAAGCTGAGAATGGACATGATCTTCATGTGTAAAGATCAGCTCTGCCAGAATGGTAACCCCCCAACATCATATTTTGTCTGTGGTATAAGACTGACTGAGGAAAAATTACCACCAGCATCACAATATTCTTGCTAGGCCCCCCATTTGACTTGTGAGATCCCATGAAATCATCACGTACCTGGCATGGTTACAAGGTGGTGGTTCGTGTTTGGTTTTTTTTTTTTTTTTTTTTTTTTTTAAAACACTGCAGTGCAAAGAGCTAGAGCCTCCTGTGCTTGCTTAGTTGGTATTGGTTTGTTAAAACTATGGAAGGTTCTGGAACAGATCTAGAGTAGCAGGTTTTTGAATCTTTTATTCTGACCTAGTATTGAAGGCAGCTGTTAGCTACTGAATTCTAAACATTGTCTACACTTTGTGTGTGTTTGTTTGTTTGTTGTTTTTCCCCTAGTAGTAGTTCATTTAAAGTATGCGTGGCAGAAATGTCCAAACGTGAGTTTAAAAAGAAATTGTCACTGTACTTTTTTGGGGGGGTAATCCAAAAATATGACTGAACAGAGACTTTGTGGATAAAATGACAGCCAGTTAAACTTTTTAGTAGTCAGAAAACAAAGTAGAATCATAGGGCCATAGGGTTTCAGATATACTACTGACTTCAGTGATACTCTGGATTTACATTGCTGTAACGGAAATCAGAATTTAGCTCCTAGAGCAGTGGTCCCAAAACTTTTTATCTCACCCCTCTCCCTTGCCCCGGAGCAGGGCTGTGGCTCCTGGGGGGGAGGGGGTGCAGACAGGGGTAAGGGGGCCAAGCCTGGGGCCACAGCTGGGACAGAGCCAGCAGCGGAGTTGGAGGCCTGGGCATGGGGCTGGTAGTCAGAAGCAGAGCTGGGTGGCTCTACCTCCCCGCCTTCCCCAGTGGGTGCTGGCCTGGGCCCCAGCCACGCTCCCCCAAATATTCCTCAGCATCCCCCAAGGGGGCATGTCCCACAGTTTGGGGACTTCTGTCCAAGAGGCTGCTTCAAGCAAGGAGGTAGACTAAGGCATGAACTTAATTCATTCTGAGTAGTACCTGTAAACCATCTGAAAGGGCCGCACAACCATAACGACCATGGTTATAAATCAGGGGGCCACATTAAATCTAGTAGAAGCAAGTAACTTCAGTGAGGCCAATGGAATTGCACCCTCCTGATACAAGATCTTATTGGTCCTCTAGACTCATGCACATCTGGACATTCCCAGCTGAACCACAAAACGAACCTGTATGTTGCAGCTTTAACATTCAGTACCACAGAATGAATGCTACTATCTGAATCAGGTGCTTGGTCAGTAACTCCAGAGTGTGAATGTCTGGGTCAAGGTTCAGGTTAGTTTAGATTGGCTTGGTTGAGTACTTGCTGGTTTGTCCAAGAACAGTGAAGCTACTGTGCGTTGGATCCTCAACATGAAATAGCATTTGAAACTGCAGTTAGAGTACAGGGTTTGTTGTTGTTTTTTCAATGTGGGAGGTGTGGTTCAGAGGTGAACAGATGAATGGCTCTAAGCAATGCAACTCTCAATGTCCAGTCACTCTGCACTTGAACTAGAGATCAAAAAAATTTGTTTCAAGTGATCATAATTGCATTCCTGACTGTGCACCAGATTGCATGCACTTGCATTAAGAATTGCAGTCTTGCATTGCTATATTCAGTATTTTGAGACACACACCTTCTGGAGGCTGAGTAATCTGGGCCTGGGAGCATGTGGTGTGTCTACACTGCAAAAATAAACCCGGGTCTACTGACCTGGGCTTGCGCTAAGGGGCTAAAAATAGTAGTGTAGATGTTCCTGCTCAGGCTCTGAGATCCTACCCCCTCTCCAGGTTTCAGAGTTCAAGCAGGAATGTCTGCCCTGCTGTTTTTAGCTCTGTAGCAGGAGCCTGAGTCAATTGACCAGGGTTCTGAGACTTGCTACCATGGACGTGGTGTCCCTTTTTGCTGCAATGTAAACATATCCATGGAGAGTTGTGCTCCCTTGAGACATGGCCTCTACCCCTTACAGTTCAAAGGGGAAGCTTGACAATTTAGGGCTAGATTGTGACTAGCCCAGCACCGGTTTACTCCCTTACTCCTCTCCGTGCTCCTCATTCCTTATTGTATACCTAAGCATGGGGCAATGGTTGCAGTCCTTGTGTTGCTAGTGGGGAGTGAAGTCTAGCTGAGGTCCAAACTAGTACCCTCCTCTTTTCACCAGTCAGCAAAGTTGATCTGACATAGGAGGGGGAGGGCATATTTACTCTTCAAAAGCTATGGCAAGGGCCACAGTTCCTCTGAGAACTGTAGCTGTTACAAAACTGTATGCCCCCACCCCACACACACATGCTTTCCAGGCTGTGACGGAAGCCACGGACAAGCCCTCAGTATTTTGCTTGGAGCGGTGAACAGTAAAATTATCCTAGTTATTGTGATGGTTGTCATGAATCCTCTTACCAAGAACTACCACTTCCTGTGAATTTCCCACTTGTTCAATTTAGAGACTAGATAGTTATTTTGGGGCCCAGCTCACTTCTTTTTGACATATGTTGTCCTAGTACAATGGGCTTTAATAAATTATGAATTCCATACATTTTGGAGAAAACACATCCATACTCAAGCTGCCTGTTCTCTCCCATTAGCCAGTGACTAGTTTCTGTAACATTTCCGTTGCCTCGCCTTATGTATGTTTCACTTCTGGCTTTTGTTAACTAAAATACCTTGACTGTTAACCTCTTGACGTTTTAGTGATATAAGCCAGAAAGGTAAATGGAAAAAATCTGTTTTTTGTTTTTCAGCTCTTCCTCCAAAGCCCCCAAAACCGATGACTCCGATCAACATGAATGGAATAAAGGACAATTCCAGTTTCTCGCTGCAGGATGCAGAGTGGTACTGGGGGGATATTTCAAGGTAAAAAATGTTTATTTCTGGACTAGAATGAGCCTTTTTAAGCTGTGCTCCCTTTGGGCCTGTGTATACTCAGGCAACATTTCACTTCAGGAACTGCATTCAGGCCCAGATTTTGCAGATCGCTTGAAGTGTGTGTTTAAGTACTATGCTGAATTGGGAACTGAGTGTGTTTAACGTGTTCTGTTATGGTTATTGTTCTAGAACAGTAGTTCACAATCTTGTGGCCACAATTGTTTACTTGGAATCTTTCTACAGATTCTTAAGTTTTGTTTTTTTTTCTAGCCTTTCTGGTTGTGAAACAAAGCTATTCTGAATGTACTGGCTTCAGTCAGTAGATTTATTAAACGTAGCATTGGGGAATGAGCAATTCATGAAACTTTCAGTAAGTGTGTGTCTCTTAGGTAAATAATAAAACCAGTAAATTAAATATGCTAGAGCTGAAAATAAAACAAGAATGAGATACTGTCTTGGATTGCTATTTGCTTTGTGGCTGAGTGTTGTCTAGGAAAAGAATTCATTAGCCCCACTACCTTCTTAACAGAAGAAAAAAGGACTTTAGATCCCGATTGTGCCACCTTTACATTTTAGTACCTTACTCAAGTAACCCCGTTTAGACCAGTGTGAGGGGGTAGCACAATTCAGGCCCTTATTGAACAATGGCAAAACCTGATTACAAAACCCAGTGGGCTTGATTCTGTTATCTTAAATCATTTTTACAATAGTATTATTACACTGACCTAATGGCATTGCTCCTGATTTACCAGAGTAAGTGATCTCTGAATGAGACTCAGTATATACAGTTTTGCAGGAATAGCTTTATATGTACTTTATCAGTTCATTTCATTTTCTTTTACAAAATACAACCCACAAATATATTTCATCAGTTGTCAATCCAGCTGCCTTGGGCAACAGATAAGCTTTTCACTGTGCCTGAAAAGCCAACAGACATTTACTTTATTGGACTGAGGGCTGGAGAATAAGTTAGGGATCTTCCACAATGAACTCCATCTCCAGCCCCCTGGGCACTACTAGAGAATGAAAGCTCAAGCATCCTAGCCATTCCCAACTGTTGGAGACATGGAGAGGCCATCTCTGAGATGTCAGGTCCAAGCTATAAAGGGTTCTGTGGCAACAATTTCCCTTTTTCTCCGATACCATTCATATCTGTAATGGAAATTGCTCTTTTGAAAGAGATTCTTCATCCAGGATAGTTAAATGCCACTAAGAACACTTACAAAGAATGGGAAAAAAGCTCTTATAGCAATCTCTGAATTAAAATATCCATTATTATTCCTTTTAAAATGTAGGTGTATTGCCTGCATCTCATGGGTGGTGGTGAGGGTACATGAGAGGTGCTCTCAATCAATCAAATAGATAAAGTGTGTGGTTTGTAACTTACCTCTGAGATCCTTGTGTGAAAGATGCCATAAAGGACAAGGTATTAGTTTTGTAAGTAAAGCGTGGTATGTAATTTGGATGGAATGAGTTTCCTGAAAGTTTAACTAACTCTTAGCTCAAACACTTTGTTTGAAATGCTTATGGGTCCTACCCATTCCATAAAAGCCTCTTCCATTTAATTAAAAGAATAAACCCTAAATTTCTTCTCTCACAACAGTTGAAAATTAGGAGTAATTCCACTGGAATTAGTGGCATTACAGTAGTTTTAAAACTGGTGTAAAAGAAATATCTAAATCAAACCACTGATGGACCTTGAGACTAGAACTATGCTAAAGTGTGGATACTTTTCTGACACCATTCTGTGAATGACCATATTCGTGCCAGTTTCTTAAAGGGCCAGAAGTGCCTTCACAAAAGTCACCTGTTTCCAGTTTGGATTTAAATGTGAGCAGATCCCAATGAAAGATTTTGAACTTGGTGATTTCTCTGAAACACAGCTGCTACTGTTGTTATACATAACCTTCTTCCTAAACAGCAGTTAAGTGCAGCTGCTGGTTTTTGCTAAAAGTGAACAAGTTCAAACCGGTCTAAGATAGCCTTAAAGGCTGAACAGAAATATTATCCCTATGCATATCCTAAATCTGAAATAAGAGAATTTGAAAAGCAGACATTAAATCCTCCGATTGCATAAGATTTTGAAAGCAAAACAGAAAGGAAATCTAATTCCTTACGCACCCTGACACTGATGGCCTCTCTTTGAATGTGTGTTTTAAAGCAAATTGTCTACCTAACACTTCTCGTTTATCTTTCTTGCAATCTTTCATTCCTCCAGGGAGGAGGTAAATGACAAATTACGAGACATGCCAGATGGAACATTTCTGGTGCGCGATGCATCAACCAAGATGCAGGGAGACTACACTCTGACATTGCGGTAAGTGTTGGGTATTTTCACTCTCTTGTCATACCTTGCTTTTAGTAGTGTCACCAGTGTCAGTAGATACCACATTAGTATTTAATTGAGATGCCCTCAGTGGTAGTCTCCACTGTCTGGGGAACATTTCTCCAGAGATTGCTGATGAGGAGTTTGGAATAAGGAGACAAATGACCAGCTCCTGGAAATTCCATCCCACTTCTTATGCTGAGCCCGGTGCATACTGGGACAGTATTATTTGGATGTCTCTGTGATGCAGACATAATCAGTAAAGGTCCTAGTTCTGTATCTCTCTCTGTCTCTGTACTTTGATTTAAGGAGGTTCCGTTAAGCTGGGACACTGCATTTAATGACACTGATTCTGATTGCACAGCAGAATGTAACTCAGTGCAGAATCTGGTCCGGTATGTTCACCAAATAGTAGGATCAGCTTTCATCTGAGTTGCCATGTGATAGATGGTTATGTTGTCTTGGAGTTCAAAATCTGCTTCCTTCGTGAGTTTAAAAATGTACTCTTGTGGCCAAATTCTGCTCTGACTTGCATATTGCACAACCACACTGAAGTTAGTGAGGATAATATTTCTATCCAGTCAGGATTTTGCGTTAAGTCTAATTAGGGGTGGTCTGAATATTTAACCATATAAGCATGTATCTGCAGGAGCCATAAGTTAAGAAAGCCGATAAAGGACAGAGCACTGTTAAATTTTTTTGCTAGTAGGGGGAAAAATAAGCAAGCACTTCTAGAAGTTGCCAGCAAATACAAACCTGGATAATGTAAAGTCCTGGATTAATTACCCTGTTATAAATCTTTCCAAGGATTTATTTAAGTTTGAGTATCCAGTGTTAGCATCCAACACTTGAGATGGTTTGTTTGATAATTGGTTTGCAGGTGCATTTTCATTTATATAATACTTTGATCTTTCCTGCCTGTATGTCCCTTGTTGTTCACCCTTTCTCTAAGCGGGATCTAGGCATCTCCTGACCTTGTGTTCTTTGGGGTTTTTTAATTATAATTTTTTTGGTTTAGTTCTGAGTTTCATATTCCTAGTTGCTCACCTTGGGGCTTTTGCGTGGCTGCCTTAAGGAATTCTGAGCATCCCCTTGGAGAATTTCTAGTTAAACTAGATCTTAAATACAATAAAGTAGTCCCCGAGTGAACACTGGAAGAGATTTACTTTGGGCTTTTCTGCTGCTCAGATAAAACTTGAGGAGACCTTTGTATGTATTTACTTTTATCCTTTTACATATTAATATATTAGATAATTTAGTTACAAAGGTACATATTAGATTGTCTGACTAGCTACAATGATTCTTGTGTGTTGCCTTTATGAAAAACTTAGCATGGCTACTCATACCATATATGTGGCCGCTTGTGTGTATGTCTGTGCACGCATGCTACCCATGCACACAACAAAACCTCTAAGCTAGTGTATTGCCTTACAGGAAGGGTGGCAACAACAAACTGATAAAGATTTATCATCGGGATGGAAAATATGGTTTTTCTGATCCATTGACATTTAACTCTGTTGTGGAGCTGATTAACCACTACCGCCATGAATCTCTTGCCCAGTACAATCCTAAGCTTGACGTGAAGCTGATGTATCCAGTATCCAGGTATCAACAGGTGAGGTTTCCAGAGAACCAATAACTGTTAGCAGATGTGTTTTTTTTGTAGTTTTTTCTTGTCATAAAACTTAGGCTTTCTATCCAGAGCCTGGATTTTTCACATGAATCATGTGAAAACTCAAAGCCCTTTTATGCTTGAAAACTCAACTTCACATTTTCAAGGACGAAGTAGTGGTTCCAAGAGTCCATGTGGTCTAAAACAATAACCACAAAGTTAGGAGAAGGAGGTCCTGACCTCTACTTTGAGCACTCACACTGACAGACTTTATAATTTTTCCAGCTACGTAAACATCTGCTTCACTGCATCCTTATGGTGTAGGTAATTGTCATCGCCTATATTTTAAAAGTGGAGAAGCTGAGGCTGAGAGATTTAGTGAATTACATGCAGGGCTCTGTGGGCTAGGATGCAAAGCAACTGTTTATGTACAAAATATGTTAAAATCAGTCACTGGCAGAAGTGAGAAGGCCACCTGGCTCCATGCCCTGTGCTTAGTTCTCTAGATTCTGGGGCTTTGGGCTGACCCCGCTTCCTCCTCCATGCTATACAACAGTCTTTAACACTGAGCAAAATGTCTCCCAGAGTTGTAGCAGTTTTCCACAAGTTCTGTGAACTCTTGTTTTAAAAACAGACAAAAAAAACTTTGATCTTTCCTGCCTGCATTATTCCCCCCTTCTCTAAGGGGGATCTAGGCATCTCCTGATTTTACGTTGCCTTTGTTGGGTATCTCTTTTTTATTATAATTTTTGGTTTAGTTCTAAGTTACATATTTCTAGTCGCTCACTTTATAGACTGTGAAACTTATTTTTTGCTTTGCCAGACTAGATCTCTCTTCTATACTTCTAGAAGCCTGATGTAAAAAATGCTGCATAATTGATCACAGAAATATGCACATTTACTAGGTTGACAAGGAACAGTGCTTAGAGAAACTACTTTGCCTAAAGAATTACCTTCTTTCTTTCCTGATATACACAGGATCAGTTGGTAAAAGAAGATAACATAGATGCAGTAGGTAAAAAGCTTCAGGAATACCACTCTCAGTATCAGGACAAGAGTAAAGAGTATGACAGACTATATGAAGAATACACCAGAACATCACAGGTCAGTTTTCAAAATAACCTTTTGTTGATCATTACAGCAGCTGTCTGAAAAGCTGAACTTCTATCCCTAGTAAGACCGTGAAACAAATTATTATTTAAAAAAAAATTAATACACAAAGGAAAACAAAAGCGTAAGCAATAGGTAGCAAATTTGTCTTGTCTTTGATTTCAGTTTGGGGCTTTTTTTGGTGTGGGGATGACAATTACAAAGTTAATAAGTAAAGGAAATGTGATTGAATGTAGCTTTTCCATATAAGATATGGCACTGCATTTCTGGAGGAATGGCACAGCCCAGATGAAGGTTTTAAGCTATCACAGGCACCATAGCAGCTCCCAGCATAAATCAGAGCAGCCAGAAGTGATGCTGTCCTATATAGTATGTGCACCAGGGATTTTTTTTCCCTCAGCCAGCTAAGAGACATTTCCAGGAACTGCATGCAACTGTGTCATCATACAGGGGTCGTAAAGTAGGATAGAATCCTAGAAGAAGAGGTATCAAAGGGCACCACCCTTGTATTAGTAGGAGCATTGCCAGCAGATCGAGGGAAGTGATTATTCCTCTCTATTCGGCACTGGTGAGGCCACATCTGGAGTATTGCGTCCAGTTTTGGTCCCTCCACTGCAGAAGGGATATGGACAAATTGGAGAGAGTCCAGCTGAAGGCAACGAAAATGATTAGGCGTCTGGGGCACATGACTTATGAGGAGAGGCTGAGGGAACTGGGCTTATTTGGTCTCCAGAAGAGAAGAGTGAGGGGGAATTTGATAGCAGCCTTCAACTACCTGAAGGGGGGTTCCAAAGAGAATGGAGCTCGGCTGTTCTCAGTGGTGGCAGATGACAGAACAAGAAGCAATGATCTCAAGTTGCAGTGGGGGCGGGTTAGGTTGGATATTAGGAAACACTATTTCACTAGGAGGGTAGTGAAGCACTGAAATGGATTACCTAGGGAGGTGGTGGAATCTCCATCCTTAGAGGTTTTAAAGGCCCGGCTTGACAAAGCTTTGGCTGGGATGATTTAGTTGGTGTTGATCCTACTTTTGAGTAGGGGGTTGGACTAGATTATTAAATTAAAGATCTGTGGTGGGATTCTCTTTCAAAGAAGCCTAATTACAAGTACTTTTTAACTTGGTAAACCTTGTGGAGGAAGAAATGGTCGGCTTTCTATGAGACTTTGGCTAAAGTGGGTTGGGTTTTTTCCTCTTCCATAAAACTCAGACTTTGCCACAATTTAAAAAAAAATAAATAAAAATTGAAAGTTTCTTTCTGACCATCAGTTTAGGAAGCATAACTGAGTCTTGCGCTTGTAACTTATTTCAGGATGCAAATGACTAAAGATGCTTTTTGGTTTTGGTTTCTTTGTATAGGAAATTCAGATGAAGAGAACTGCAATTGAAGCATTTAATGAAACCATTAAAATATTTGAGGAACAGTGCCACACACAAGAGCGATACAGCAAAGAATACATTGAACGATTCCGCAGAGAGGGGAATGAGAAGGAAATCGAACGGTAGGATCTCAAACCATACTTGTGTGTGGTCCTTACATAGACACACTAGTAAAGCTAACAGAAAATTCTGTTAAGCTTTCTTTTATATGATTAAAGAAGTTAAGTATGTTTACTAAAGATTCATATTCCTATGTTCAAATATCCCAAACAGTTGTGCACTGTAGAGGACAATCCTGCATTTGTTGGGAGGTAGACTGGATGATCTCTGGTCTCTAACTTCTATGAATCTAGATTTTTATAGTGAAGAGCTCTACAGGAAAATCTGAGGTTTAGATATGTATATTCTTAAAGCTCAAACAATACTATCTGGAGAGGGGGAGAAGTTAATTTACAGCTAAAACATGAGCTAAAGAAAAGTTAGCTGTCTTCTAGCACTCACATGTAGAGTTAATCTCGGAAATGACTAGCTTGAAAGCACTTGTCATGTAATGTGCTCTTGGATGCCCATTTAGAAACTCCCATTGATCTTGCTAAGAGTTGCATGTGCATCAGAAATCAGGATTTGGCCCCAATCCAGTGCCTTCAAAGGTTCTTCAAACATTTTGAAATTAAGAACAAACCAATATTTGTAAAGCTGAAAACTTCCATAATATTTTACTACCTCTTTGTAAGACAACAATAGTAATCTAAGTCAATGAGGGGTTTTTGGGTAGTGGAGACCTGTGGGGATGGTAGTAGGCACTCTTCAAAGTGTGATTTCTGCCCTGAAAAATGGCCACTTCTGACTCAGCAGACCTTTTTCTTACGTGTTTTCATAGTCTTATCTACTGACTCTGACAAAAGGAAACTCTTTGTTTTAAATCATAGCAATGCACAAGAGAGCTGAATTCTGTTCCTCCACAAGCATCGGCAAAATTGTTTAACGTTTCAGTTACATGGGTGAATCAAAAAGAAAAGGAGGACTTGTGGCACCTTAGAGACTAACCAATTTATTTGAGCATGAGCTTTCGTGAGCTACAGCTCACTTCATCAGATGCATACTTTTCCACAGTATGCATCCGATGAAGTGAGCTATTGCGCACGAAAGCTTATGCTCAGATAAATTGGTTAGTCTCTAAGGTGCCACAAGTCCTCCTTTTCTTTTTGCGAATACAGACTAACACGGCTGTTGTTCTGAAACATGGGTGAATCAGTTTTCATTGGAACATGTCACATAGGGCTTAATTGGGTTGTACAAATGAGGGCATGATTTGTGCTGCAGAATCTCTAACACTGATGTGTGAGAAGGAAATAACCTAGCTTGACTGTCAGATCCCCGGCTGAATTTGCATGAGATGCAGTTGAGAGAGAGAGAACATCTCTTCATTTCAAATATGCTCAGTTTACAAGTGGAGACTTGGTAAATCTGGAACCCCACCATCCCAGTATTAGTGTCACTTTTCAGTGAAAGACCACACTGATTTCCCCCCTACCTGTCAATGGCTATTAGTCTCCTACTGCAGTTTGAATGAGGAGCTGGAAATGATAATGTAAGTCAATGTGAACTGCATCAAAATTTTCTTCTGTTAGAATCTGATCTTAATGTATGTTAAACCCCACTGTTAGCCATATTTTTATAACGTAGATTGAATTTCTATCTGGCCAAAGTCCATACAAAGGTTAATGGTTGAGGCGCAAACCTCTGTTGCCTGCTAATAGCAAGGTGCAGTTCTTACTGTCAAACTTTGCCAATACCTAAGCACAACAAAGTAATGTGATCCTTTCTTCTGAATTCTTGATACTTCTAGCAGTTCTTGCATAAAAAACCTATCCTAGTTTAGTTGCCTAAAGTTACTGTGATTTGAGCAACTACCTACTGTAAACCAAAAAGTCCCCTATTCTGTGTTTAAAACTTTTTATAGCGTGCCATAAATGTATGTTGCGTTTAACAAATCACAAAGTAAGATGCTATCCCTTTACTAAATAGTCTGAATGTAGGAAGCTTAACAGCAGAGCAGCTTTGTCTATTTTATATAGAGTTACACAGTAATAAAATGTCTCCAAACAGTTTTGCAGAGTAGATATTAAACTTCCATTTCTTAGTATGAGCAGTTGCGTTTATGTGCAAGGAATACAGTCTCATTCCAGTGTCATAAATGTTCTTGCTAAGATTTTTGCAAATAAACACAGCTGTAGATTGCTCTATGGTAAAAGGGCAAGTAAGATGGCTAACCTGACATGGCATCTTCTGAATTGCAGTAATATCCTTAGTGTGACTCTACTCTGAAAAGGCACTTTGTAAAGTGGGACATTGTGGGACACCCATGTTTCATCCTGACACCAGAAAATTTGTGTCCAATGTGTTTACAAGTGAAGTAAAGGAATGTGGGGGAGAAGGGAAGGTTGTTCCTAACTTCCAGGCCTGCAAACCAATTTGAGATCTGAAATTGAGTCAAGCAGGGTTCTTTGCAACGTGCTCATCGTCACCAGTACTAAGTGTCTGCTGCAGACCAAATCCTGTTGACAGTGACACCTGTGCTAGGGTTGTATTACAGGTTAGAACCTGAGTAAGTAAATCTGAGTATATAGAGAGAGTCCGATCTAGCTCACTCCCAGAGCTGTGTTGGCTTTGTCAAGAGTTTAAAAAAAAAAAAAAAAAAGTCTTAAATTTTAAGATCTGTTTCTGAATGTATGATAGAAACAGATCCAAGGAGTAGGTAGGAAGCATCCTTTTAGTCACTTTTCAGGGTAGAACTGCACTCCAAACCAAGTGAAAGCACTTTACAATAGTAGCCACTACCAAACTGATGGTAACATGAGAGGAATGTGATATAAAGAAATATGGCTCTTTGTCTTCCAGTACTGTGTATAAGAGGTAAGCCATTCAATAACTTTCTTAAGGCTAGAGCAGTCTGGACTGGTTGTTGTTGTATGTTTCTCTCCCTCTTAAACATTATAAATTTATTTACAGAATAATGATGAATTACGAGAAATTAAAATCACGCCTGGGAGAGATCCATGATAGTAAAATGCGTCTGGAGCAGGATTTGAAGAAACAAGCTCTGGACAATAGGGAAATTGATAAGAAAATGAATAGCATCAAACCCGATCTTATCCAGCTACGCAAGATCAGAGATCAGTATCTAGTGTAAGTAGGCAAGGCCTGTGCACCTCAAAACAGTGTCTGTGATTAACTTGGTTAAAGACCGTTGCCATCATTATGTATGTTCATTATACTAATGGGAGTCTGGTCTCCTTTTTATAATCAGTTGTGTGTGCACTAATAGGAGACTGGATCCCTTGTATGAAATGATTGAGTAGCTGGTTAGCCTTTCACTACTTCTGTAATAATAACTTCATGTCTTATTACTTTAACTGTCAGACTTTAAAGCATATCTGGTACACCAGTACATCACTAGTACACATTCTACAGTATAGGTAGCTTTCATGTGAGTTAGAACATCAGGGATGATAAAGGGAGATGCCCTCTGACTGACCAAGTGCCTCCCTCCACTAATGTTAGCAGAACTAGGTTGAGAAGAGCAGAGGTCAAAGTGGTGGCTCCTTAGAATGGCGTACTCCCTCTTACTGACCCAAATCCATAGGATTGGAACTTCACAGGCTGGGGGGGGGGCATAGCACTCCAAAGCACACTTCCCTCTGAGCCTTGTGGTATCAGAGAGTTAACACCTGCTCTATGTACACACCCCTTCAGAGAGAAGGTGAGAATGTTACATGGACAGAGGCACTAGTGACCATGCATGCTGCTCTGGGAGAGGGAGGCAGCCGCAGCCTCCATCAGAAGACCCAGCATAGCCTGCAATAGTACCTCCTTTCGACATTTGACCTGCAGGATGTGGAGGTCATGCCTCCTCTGCTGCTCCCTCCTCTGCTGCTCCTTCCCCAATAAAGAGATCATTCTAAGGAGACTATATAAGGGTGTACTGTGTAATGTTGCCTGGGGTCTGTGTCTTTCACATGGGCTTTACTGCAGGTGAGTAAGCTCAGTCTCTAGATTCTCTCCTTATGGGATCTATGTCTAAGCTTCTCTTCTATCTGGTCAGTAGCAAACAACTAGGAAACATATTAATGCTTTCTATTTTCTCATCCTGACAGATGGCTCAATCACAAAGGAGTGAGACAGAAGCGAATAAACGACTGGCTGGGAATCAAAAATGAAAATATTGATGAGTAAGTGCTCTTGTACATTTAATCTCTCTAAGTGGCAGAGCTCCGGTCTTTCCACTGAGGATCTCAGTAATATGAAATATCAGTTTCTGTATAAAGGATTGAAGTTTTATCCTAAGGGAAAGGCTTTTGTTTTGGTTTTTTTGGGGTTTTGTTTTGGTTTTTGTCCTGTGAACCAGCATCTGTTTTCAGCTAATGTGCATGTTGCTACCTTTTTGAATAAGGATTCTTGGTTGACATTAAGTGACTATTAGCAGGCTGGTCTTCCAGTTTGAACTGCCTCTTCCAGATGTACTTTTTTATTTGCATTTTATCTTCCTTTAGAATGCTTTCTGCAGAATAAATCCTCCTCTTTATAACTGATTCCTTTTGCGAATGGGTGATGGAGCTAACAAGTTCCATCTCCTCTTTCTCTAGTACTTACTTTGTGAATGAAGAAGATGAAAACCTGCCACATTATGATGAGAAAACTTGGTTTGTTGGGGATCTCAACCGTATCCAAGCAGAAGATTTGCTCCGTGGGAAACCTGATGGAGCTTTTTTAATTCGAGAGAGTAGCAAGAAAGGATGTTACGCTTGTTCTGTGGTGTAAGTCTGTTTTCGTTATGGTTTAACTTACTTGGAAACCTCTAGATTGTCAATCTCAAGTATCTTTGCCATTTGAATTACTTTAGAAAATTCAAGCCACCTTAAAATTCACACGTTCAAATGAGTGCAATATACAGTGGATACATCTAGGTTACAATGGTACAACTTTGTTGCAGAAAGCTGTTAGTTTGGAGGCACAGGTATTGTGGGCCTTATGATCTTCAGTCATGTAATCACTAGGCTATAGTTCTGCAGCATTCCAATAAGAAACTTCATAATAATCTGTGGCCAGATATTCACATCACTCACTGATAAGGAACATTAGCAAAGTTTGGGTGCTGAAATGTTCCATGTGGCACACGTTGAGATTTGTTCTGATTTGCAGACATGCCAACTGCAGATCCACGTAACTGCTATGTTTAAGATCATGATAGCACTTCAGAAAAGCATATTATTTCTGTTGATCAGTATTATGCCACAAAATAGTACTGAAATGGCATAATGTAACCTGCTTTTACTTTGGATTATAAAAGTTCCAGCATGGGGATTATCTAATATCTGATCTTTCTGGCAAATAGTTCCCAGGCTTGTGGAATAATCGTGGTGCTTCAGTAAATGCCAAGTTGGGGACTTGATTACTATAACTTTAGATAACAAACTGACTTGGGAACCCATGCTGTGTTTGCCGACTACCAAACATAGCCCAACATTCTCAACTAGCTTCAAGGTACTGGTGAAATGCCGGCCACATCTGTTTCAAGAGAGTGAGAAAATACACACACACGCATGCACACACACCTGACTTTCTTGGAAGCTCCATGGCCCTTATTGCCTTTACCGTTTAAATTGGGAAAATTGGCATCTAAACATCAGTTTCTAGAGACAGTAACTTGGCTGTTTGCCTTATTAAGTGAGCAAGTTCTCCTGAGTAAAATCCACCTGAAACCAAACTTCCAGCTAGAAGGTGGAGGGAGCTGGGGGCAAGGAGACAGGAAGACCCTAAAGTCAAGCACCATATGAAACATCATTCCTAGGTCACGTGGCTTTTGGAGAACCATACTTAAGGAGTGATGTGTGTAGAGAAGTCTCTTGGAGATATAGATATGGTACTTCTCTTCTCCCAGGCACAGAGACTGAGCATCTTGAAGACCAGCTCCCCCTGGGGAGGAAAAAAGCAGGGTGGGGGATTCAAAGGAGGCTGGGTCACACTAAGTCTGAGGATTTCCTGCTGTGTAACTGTTCTGAGGCACTAGACTCAAATAGAAGTCCCACAGCTAACTCTGCCTTTCTGCCTCCTGACCTCCTCCACCCCCTTTTTCAGGAGTGGGACTTGAGGTGGTTTCAAACCCAATTTTTAGGATTCAGTGTAGCAGGAATCCTGGTCATGTGAAGGTTTTGGAGTGTTTAATCTCTGGTTATGCTGCTCACCAACCTTCCACTCAAAGATGGAAACTCCTGAAAATCCCATTTAGCAAAATGCTGTCATTTCATGAACGTTCATGTTCTTTGCTGGTTTTATAGAAGTAGACATTGCTTAAACAGAAGTGTTTTGTGGATTCGGAGGGTTACTAAGTGCTACAAGTGAGATGAGTGAGGTTGCTCTCAAACTGAGGCTTTCATTAAATCCAATTATATTCTTCTTTCCCTACTTTTTATTGTTCAAGCTGCTTTATTTCCTTTTTTTATTCTCTCCTCCATAAATAGTTATTTAAGAGGCTAAGTATGGATATATTATAAGAAGCAATATCCTAGAAATCATAACAAAGGATCAAATAGTTACAGCTTCTAGTAACATAGTCAGACCTCAGTATCTAACACTTCTATGTTTGTTTATTTCTGATACCACTGATGAGAAACAGAGAACTTTTCTTTTAAATCTCCCAGAAGAGGCTTCTGAAGCTAGACACGCTAAATAACCCTGGAATTGCAGGAGTCCTCTAGAGAAGGAAGGGTTTCCCATCTCCACGGTTTGGTAACTGTTGAAATAAAAGGTCTGAAATAGAATTGCCTGATGTTTTTCGGCAATCTGAAATCAGTGGGATCTGCAGAAGCTTAGCCGTTTTGAGAATCAGTTCACTTACCTCTGACAAAAATCCATGGAGAGAAACTAGACAAAGCTAGTCTAAAGTAGAATTGGACTGGAGCTAAGTTAGCGGTTAGCAAAGTCTGGGCTGTAACGCCATTTCTTAGTGGTCCTCGGAATGAAAGAGTTTGAGAAGTAAGCAGTGGGGGTTGGAGTACTGAGATAAGAGCTGTCCCATGTGAAAACCTCTTTGTTATGTAGATCACTTTGTAAGAATGTCTAACCGCTCTTCCTAGAAGCATATCTTCTCACAGAATCTCTATTATAACATCCTTCACTTCTTTCTAGAGTTTTGTCATTATTTTATTGACACAAAATCAGCCTTGCTATAGTAGTTGCCTGTTGACATTGAGACTGTCATGTTAAACTGTCCTGTTTCTTTCCTTACAGAGCTGATGGCGAAGTTAAACACTGTGTGATCTACAGCACTCCAAGGGGCTATGGGTTTGCAGAACCATATAACCTGTACAGCACACTTAAGGAATTAGTCCTTCATTACCAGCAGACATCCCTCATTCAACACAACGATTCCCTAAATGTCAGGCTCGCCTATCCTGTCTACGCACAGATGCCCTCCTCCCTTTGCAGATAAATTCTGGGGAGGGGGAAAGTGTTGGCTATCTTGGATTCTTTTCTACAGTTTTTATTAGAACTCTGAGGGCATTCTTTCTCCTTAGACTGCTTGTTTTGCACAAGAAGTGATTCTGTGAATGTGAATCAAAGAGGCCTAGCAGCAACAAGACGACAACTTGGGTGTAGGTGTCCTGGTGCTACCTAAAGCTCAGCTATGCTTTTACACTGATACTTGTGTTTCCTTCCGGGGGGAATAAACTCAACATAAACACATCCAAAAAACTGGAAGCAAAACATTTTATGGAGATGATTTTTTGCCAGGCACCTTCAGCAGAACTTTTAATTGGGATTTTTTTTCTTGTTCTTGTGGAGACAATTTTGAAGCCTCTATTGAGGCATCAGTAATGTCTTTCAGTCTTAAACTCCAAGAAACTAGGGGGGGAAACTCTACCACAGCAATGCTCTCTGTTAATTTTAGCAGCTTCACTGCGATTCAGCCGAACTTCCAAATGAGGGCTTATCTTGAGGAGGCATGGAATTTGGTGAGAGAAGACCAAAGGAATTATGGGAAAGTTTCAGGTTGTTATTTAAAAGGAAAAAAATCCTTATAAAGAAAAGTTGCTTTATTTTTTACCAACAGTAACAAAGTTTTGGTTTCAACGGCACTACAGGTCTTCGCTTAAAGGAAATGTTTATAACCAAATTGAACCCACCAAAACTTTGTTCGTTGCTGGATTGAGCACTTATGGGGGAAGGTTGCGTTAGCATCCGCACATACTTTCTACACCAAAACTTGAAACAAATAAAAGGAAAAGCTAAAACTTTTTGTGTGGTTTTGAAAACTCTGATCTGTCTGAATTGATGTAATTGTTCCTCCTTCCTCTCCCCTCCTCCGTTTTTTCTTTGTTTTTTTGTTGTTGTTTTGGGACACTTCTTTCCAAGTCTTTTAGATACTATTCTTTGGAATGTAAACCAGAATGAAGCTGGCCACTCATGTTTTGTGAGTTCTGTTGCTGATTGATGAACTATTCTTTTGAAACCCTTGTAACATTTTTGTAATGTAAGTGTAAAGAAAAGGTGCAATTCAGTGCTTCTGGATGGCTTATTATACCAAATAATTACATGAAGACCGGTCCTCAGATTTTTTCTATTATAAATAGTATGCTAATTCGTACCAATGCCCTTTGACTTGTTCACCGTGAACCAGATTCTGATTTCTGTTACTCCACTGAAGTCAGGTACTCAAGATTTTATGCTAGTAGAATCCAGTTCCACTACGTATAGCCGTGTTTAGAGTTGGGCAATAATAAATTAACCTGCATTTATTTGTAAACACAGCAGCCAGTTAAGTAGTAGCCAAAGCAGGAAGTGGATTGTCTGCTACAAGACAGGCATAGACTATTCTAAAAACTACAGGTTCTCTTGTGCCATCTGCTGAAGTATCTGATACTGTCAGATGCTAGGTAGGCAAATCCTGGGTGCAACTTGGTACAGCAGTCCTGTATTCCTAAAATGCTTAAGCCAAGGAATAATTGCATTTGAGAGATGTAGGTTATCCCCATTATGTTTTGACTCAGTATTTTGATTTGCTCCTACTGAGTCTCTACAATGGAAAACTAAATTAGGTAAGAGTAACTTTGTTTGGCAACAAAGCACAAGTGGCAAAGTAATTATTCAGTATGTGGTCTTAGAATTTAATTTTTGCTGTTTTTAGTGGTAGCATTTTGTTTTATACTTGCTGTATGTAAATTGCCCAGGCAAGGAAACAGTCTAGTGGTTAAGACACAGGCCTGCAAGTTGGGAGCCCTTGGGTCTGTTCCTGACCCTGTCACTGACTTCTTGTTTGAATTTGAACCATCTGTAATCCCTGAGGAATAGTGGCAAGGTTGTTGAGGCTTAATTAATGTTTACACTGAGAAATCATCAAACAAAAGCACTATAAAATATTGTTAAGCAGAGCATTATTTATTCATGAGTAGGGACATGACAGATCTTGAACACTGATAAATAGTGGAAAGGACAATTTAGATTGCTTGGCATGTCCAAGCAACACTTTATTTTACACTAATGTGCCGCTGGTTAACCAGCTAGAATGTGGTCTTCAAATGAAGAATTGTCAAGGTTTAGAAAGCCCCACAAACTGAAGCTCGTGTGAAAGGAAAATGAGACTAACACAAGGCTCCATGCCAAATGACCCAGTTTCCCCTGGTTGGCTACTACGTTGCTGGGAAAATGTCTGCCCCATTCAGTAAAAACCTAGATTCACTGCTCCCGTTGTAGGTCAGAAATGGACTTTTTTTAAATGAAAGCAACTTGCCACATCCCTTGAGTTATGGGTAATCTGCTGACTGCAAAGCATCATTCTCATCCTTTATCTCTTGCCCTTCCAGCATTCTCCTCACCATTGGATTCAATCTAGATTACACATATATTGGGTAGATTTTTCAAAGGCACAGATAGCAGTTATTTACTGTCTGTGCCTTTGAAAATCTACTGCATTACATCATGGGTCTTCTCTTACTTCCACCGGAAACTCTAGTAGAGTCAATGTTATTCCTCATTCTGTGCTCCCACTGGTGAGAATCTGTGAAGTGTCTTGCTATCTGAACTGTGACATAGTTTCATATTAACCAAGCAAAGGTCAATTATCAGACTAAATCCCAGCTCCGTTTCTCAGTGGCAGTGGTGCAGGAAGTAGAACTACTTCTGAAGCTTCCTTGTAGTTGAATCTCAATGAGCTTGTGATGTTGTAGGCCAGATTCCACTTTTGGTTATGCCTGTATAAATTCAGAGTAATTCCATTGGCTTCTGTGAAGTGACTTTGGCTTTACAGTGGGGTATGAATGAACTCAGAATCTGCCGACCCCCTCCCCCACCCTTTCAAATTTCTTCACCCATCACAGGTGCTGCATTGTTATGAGCAATACATCCAGAAAGCTAAAAGCCATCTAGAAGCATTTTAATTCTTTTTCCCCCTAAATTTCAGATTAGGACTGTGTTCAAATTAAAACCTAAAAGTTCTTCACTTTCTCCATCCCTATCTCTCTGACTCCTGATTTGCCCATGTGCCTTTTTGCACTTGATTTAGGCACACAAGTTACAGCTTGTTAGTGTTTTACCCATTTTATGGTAACACATGCCATTGCACACCTCCTTTTTGCCTCAGTTTTTGCACTCATGTGGCAAGTGAAATATGGGTATAAAACCAAGTGAAATATATAGCAGGTATAATTCACTAGGGGGCCTCCTCCTGCTCCCAGTCACTCCAGTTGGCCTGATCCTGCTCACTCACTGGTATAAAACCAGTGTAACCCTGTTACTCCCCACAGAGCCATTCCTCTCAAGATTGAAAGCGAAATTGGGCTCAATAGATGCAGGATTGGTCCCTAGTATCTGCTGTTAGCAAGCTTAAAAGAAATGTATAAGAGAGAAGGTAAGGGCAAAAGGAGGAGTAAAATCCAATGATTTTAAAAAAAACAAACAAGCCAATATGTTCATGTGTGAAGAGAGTGCAGAAAAGTTCTGGTTTCAAGGGTCAAAAGATGGGGAACTTATGCTCAGTTTATTGGAGCAGCCATTTCTTACCTGACTGCAGCTAGAATAGTACTGATCTCACTGACCCATGTTGTATTAAATATATATATAGATTTTAAATAACTTTTTTTTTGCACAGTGTTAAATAGGGGAAACGATATTGAGACTTTCTAATATGCACAGTTTCTTCTATCTGTTTGAAGTATATTTGCAGGGAACAGGGGTGATTCAGTATTTTGCTTTTTCACAAATGGGGAAACCAGATCTACTTCCACAGTTGCCATTGTGCCCATTGTATGCAGCACATCAGCCAAGAACACCATGTTGCTGAGCTTCCAACTCTCCTCCCATTAGTTCCTTTGCCAGTCACATGTCTTACTGTGAACAAATGGGGGGTGATAGGACGAGTTGGTACGATGCAGTTTGAGGATGCTGCAAAGTTTTCCCAAAGAGCACAGATGCAGCCTAAAAACAAGGGTGTCTCATTGAGTATTTGAACCAGCGTGTAAGAGAATATGAACATATATGGTGGTGCATTTTCCAGTTAAAGAGGGAGAGAAATTGTCTAAACTATTTCTGTGTCTGGAAGTGATGGCGCAATGCCTGCCATGTACCGCATGTCCCCTAGGTCTGTACTGGGTTCTGAGGCAGTGCAAGTCTTCTCTCTGCGCCAAGATCAAACATGGTTTCTCCATGTGCGCGCACACTTCCAAAGGTGACTGAGGGAGAAAAGGAATTCTCAATCAAACTAATGAGCCTGATTCTCTTCTCACTTACACCGTTGTAAGCAAGAGATTCCATTGAAGAAAAGCTGTGCATGTGAAAGGAGAATCAAGCCCATCTGCTTTACATGATATCCAAATTTCAGGCTGCACTCATGTCACAGAAGGACAGAAATCAAAGCAAATCTTGGCCTCTTTAAAGCCAAGCAGCTATAATGGATACTGTGGAAATAAATGTTGAAGCTTTCAGTGCAGTTGTAAGGGCTGGGGGGAATATTGGTTGCCCTAACATTGCTCTGTGTGCAACTTGGATGGCAACATGTCCAGTAACTTAATGCTATGGCTGTTTAAAACAGCAGAATTACTAAAGGAGTGTCACAGTTTTAAATTTTGGAAAAGCCCCTTATATTTGGTACTTGAACAGTCTCTTTTCTGTTGTTTGAATGTTTTTGTTTTTTTTCTTTATACTAACAGGGAAGGAAAATCTGAAATGTTAGTGAATCTTGTAAATGTGCTGCATTTTGCAGACATAAAACAGGTACTTTTTTGTGGGTGGAGGGGAGGGTAAGAGACAGGTTCAAAATGCAATTTTAACAGCACTATGGTGAAGTGAGGTTTTGTTTTCATCCATATTCTAGAGTCCTACGTTCCTTTGTTTTCTCCCTACCTTAATGTCTGCTTTGTGTACAGCAGAGTCAAAATATATTCCTGAAAGAACAAAGACTCATGCCAATTTCTGCTTCAAATGGCAAATTTAAGTCAGATGCACAAAGGCTTTAGTAAGTGAGAGAATGAGTTGAAAATCCAGGCTCAGCTTCTTGAAGAACTTATGATTATAGTTTTGAGCAAGGAACAGACAATGCCCTTGAACAGGACTCCTGTCTTTATTCACAAAAGATTAGACGCCAAAATGATTCTAGTCTCAATTTTTGCATAGAAAGCCTTGGAATAATTGGGTATACGTTTGTAAGTAAGTGTGCATGTGTGTGTTAAAAGCAGTTGGGATAGTGATGAAAGTCTTAAAGGACTTACTCAACTATTTTTACAAAGATCTCCTGTTTTGTATTTGAAGGAACCTTGCATTGCTGTCCCACTAGTTTCCTTTTGGCACAATCTGTGCCAGCAAGAGGAGAGAACAAAGCCACGCCATCTTACCCAAATAATACCAGGATGTGTTGGTAAAGCAATACTGCTAATTAGTCTGTGTAGCAGGAGTATGTTTTGACAGTGCTATAGAAAAGTTTGTCCAAACTTTTGCAAAGCTTACGTTCTGTGGCCAGAAATATTTTCTGTGGGAGGGGAGGGAAGAATTTTGAAAGCCCTTTAGAGGCCGTACCATTTCTTCCACAGGACTAAGATTCAGGATTATCAGTGTGTTTTTGTGAGTTGTTCTAGAAGATGATGGTGCTTAAAACACTGGTCTTTGGGGCTGGCTCCATACGTTTAATGCAACTCGCCTATTCTTCACTTTTGGCAGTAGACCCACCCCCATTCTGTGGCTAATGCAAATGTAACATTGGTTTAGAATTTGACTTAAAATACTTGGCATGCAGGCTTCTGCAGCAAATTAAGTACAGGCGTCTGTTCTATTTGGTCAACAGAAATAACGGTTCTCTCTGATCAATCAGTATGAGACAACATTTTCAGTTAGGCGTTTATTTTAAATTTCCTCCGATTTTTTACCATCAGATGTTGCTTTTGGAATATTGGCTTTAATAAGTGAGAGTGTTTTGGTTTTTTTTTTTTTCTGTAAATTCACCACCACTCCATTAAATGTGCTTGCTGGGTGGTGTAGTGGTCACAGAATGGGCTTGACTTCACAATTGTGTTAAAAATGACATAGCAATGGCCAGGGACCAAATTAACCCCCTGGTATAAATCTATTAACTTCAGTGGGGTTATTTACCACCCCATTTATGCCAGCAGTGAAATTAGCCCTGGGAATCATCATTGAAGTACAATGTATGTAGATTGTTTTGTTGGATGATTGTTTGTTTGTGTTTGGTTTGTTTTTTTTTCTGGTTTGGGTTTGTTTGTTTGGTTTTTGTGAGTTACTCATACATCAAATAAGAATACAGTTGACTAAACCTGTTAATTTTGTATGTTTGGCAGTTTACAGCACCATGGGATTGTAACAGTCTGCATCATATCTGTGTGTGTGTGTATGTACTGTATGTATATAGCTCTATGTAAAATATATTCACATACACATTTATATGCATTAGCCATAAGTGGCACTGGCCCTTAAAACTAAAACAAAATTCACTATTTGCACGTTTTTACACACATTTAGACAAAGTTGGGTTTGTTTTCTTCAAATGAAAGGGGTTTATCAGGAACATCTTGACAATGTGCTTTTGAGAGTCTACACTATGGTTTTGTTTTTTTGTTTGTTTTTTTAAATTGGATTGTTTAGAGGTTTTTTTAATTATTTACTCTGGGACAAGAGCATTAAAATGTGTTCAAAGCAAAGGTTACTTTTAAAATTACCTCTTGTTTTCCTTCAAGATGCAGTAATGTTTGCATGTTTTCAATCAATCTAACCAAACTCCTGTCTAGAACTAATGTGCAAAGGAGGGTAACAGTATGTCTCACGTTGTGAATGCACTGGTTAGATGAAGGCGTGTCTCGGTGTAAACCGTGAGTGTAGGTTTGGTTTTTGTAGTCAGGACTGAAATGATAGCACACGCTCCTTTTGTATAACCTTTGTGTTAATGTTGTTGCATTGTTTTAAAATGTTTTTTTTTTCTTCCAAGAGATACTGCCTCTGTTTAGAACCTGCTTCTCATGGAGCTGGTGGAGGGCGGGGGGTGGTTGTTGTTTTCCTCCATATGAATTCCAGCATGTAACTTTTTGGTACTCTTGTTGTTATTTGTGTAAAACCTGTTCTGTCGTTTATGCTGTAGTTTAAAAAAAAAAAAAAAAGGAATTTGTGTAGTTTAACTTTTAAAAAGAAACAAACTGCTTCATATGGAAACCAATTGTATGTTAGTGTTTTTGGACAAGTCATACTGTAGTTTCTAGATCAGTAATGCAACATTGTACTTGTCACCAGATGTGTTACGATTTTGCTGTATTTTTTTAATAGATGGTTGGGCTTTTAAATCCCAGACACTAAACATCCTGGGCCTACCTGCTCTAGATTTAAACAAAAAAAAATGCAATAAAAAAGTTGCAATAAAGCACATTTACATGTAATGTTTTAGAAGGATGTACTGACAGCTGTTTCTAATAAATTCAGAAATGCAGCCTAGCTGGCATGTTGTGGTGTTAGCTGTGTGTGTTTCTCCTGGTTGAGGCAGTGAAAATGGATTTTGTTTAAGGCTCAGTTCAAGACTAGAGTTTGTTTGTTGTGTTTTTGGTTGTTGCCAAAATTGCACTATGTCTCCAAAATCCTAAGCAATTTAAACTCCAGTTAACAAATACACACTTCAGCACTGCTTCATTTGGGTGCCTGAAACAAGACCTCTCGCCTGACTTGGCAAGAGATCCAGCAACAGGGCATTCACTGAAAGTGGTGTAAAAGCAATGGTTCTAGCTAGGCTATACGGTCCCACAACAACTCTACATTCCTTGTACAATTTCACATGGATCCTGAGACTATGGTACTGAACAATTTCCTTGCATTTACAATCTCTTCAGAGATAACCAATTTAGATCAGTTTTCAGAGTAGCAGCCGTGTTAGTCTGTATCCGCAAAAAGAACAGGAGGACTTGTGGCACCTTAGAGACTAACAAATTTATTTGAGCTGTAGCTCACGAAAGTTTATGCTAAAATACATTTGTTAGTCTCTAAGGTGCCACAAGTCCTCCTTTTTCTTTTTAATTTAGATCAGAGATTACAACGTAGCAATAGCACTAGTAAATGAAATCACTCTCTCGGCATGTTTGTTCTTTAATTCTCCCTTTCTTCAGTTCAGTTATGGTCCCTTTCCATAGGTCATGGAGACGTCAGACATGTTCATGGGTGCCTGATCATTTCCGAAACATCAGTCTAGTGATTCAGCTCTGATTTGGGGCTCTAGAAATAGCAGGGAGAGGCTTGAGCATCTTTAACCCGATACCCAAGCTTCCCACTGAAGAAGCAGTAGTTTGTGGGCCTTATTCTCCAGTCACACCACTTCCATTCACTTTAATATATAGTGTAAGTGTTGAAATATAACTGGGTTCTCTGGTTACTCAGTAACCAGCCAGATCCTGCTGCCACTGAGATCAATGAGAGCAGAATTGGGTCTTTGCATTTCTCACACCTAACACACCCTCTTTGCCTGGAATTGGCAAAGTGAAATCTCTGGGAGCCTGGGCTTATGTTCCTTAGTGATTACATCCGAACCCATCACTGCCACTGCACAGGTGTGTACACTAATAATTACATGGTGAGCTTCAAGACAGAGGCTCATGCTTTGCTGCGTGTGTTCACTTTTGGCAATGCTGCCATTCCACATCCACCTTGTGGTAAATGGGCCACGGTCTTATGCAGATGGCTTTTATAACCCCCATTTTCTTGTTCATGGAGGTTTTATTATAGATGAGAAAAATAACTGGCAACTTGCTAATGGGGGAAGGGGATTTGAGTCTGCATCAAACACTAAGGGAGAGAGACCAGGCGGGTGAGGTAATATCTTACTGCATCAGCTAAGTGACCATTAAAATCACCTAGGGAGGTGGGAAGAACTAACATGAGTGATCTTGGTTTGATTTGATTTTTCTCTCTCTCTCAATAGTAATACGTGGGATTTACCAAAGCTAGGGGAAACATTATGCTGGATGCCCCTGGCCTAAATCTGGAGTGATTCCATTGATTTCAGTGGTATTACCTGTATGTAACCAATCAGAATCGAGCCCTGTAGCGCTGACAGGGAGAGAGTTTAAATCGAATACAGCTGTTGACAAGTATGCCTGGTATTTCTCTTCACAGTTCTCTCTCAAGATCTGCTTTTGGCTTGTTGGTATCATGCTGCCGTATTGTTACAAGGTACAGTTGCATCCAGTCGTTCAATAGCTTGTATTGGCTGTGTTTGACCTCCGTCCCGTGGAGGCAGATCCATGTACTACATTGCCATGACTCCGTAATACTTGTCTGTCTTGCCGAATTAAAAACCGATATTTTCCTGAGGCCAGGCTGTGTGGTTGGTTTGTGGTTTTTTTTTTTTTTTTTTTTTACTAAACGCCGCCCTAAAACGCACTCCATGCTTTCTAAAAAATAATGGAGGCTTGTAGGAGGTTCAGCTGCTGTTCACATTGGTCAAGGAGTGACCGGTGCACATCGCTTAATAGCGTTCTGCATGCTACAGTGGTGTGAAGTGGTCAGGGCTCCATTGTACACACATGGCCTGAGACAGTCCCTGCCCCCATCCACCTAGCCAAAGACAGACTAAACAGGAGAGAGAGGAATTGCTATAATCCCCATTTTATAGAGAGAGGCCTGAGGCACCGAGAGCCCAGGGCCCAGCTCCTTAAAGGTACTTAGACATATGACTTTAGGCACCACTGACCGTTTCAAAGCTGCCGTTCAGGTGCCCCTTACACGCACAGGAGTGGCTGGTCAACACTGGCAAAGCTGCCTCGCGCTACCGAGGCGCCCGGAGCCCTCACTCAAGCCAAAGCCAGGTAGGCCTTCCCCTCTTTAGTGTATGAACCCCCTTTTCAAGACACCTCTCTTCAGTGGGGCCCAAACCCGTAGGTTTGCTCAGAGCACACCTGCCAGCCCCTATATGGAGGGCCAGAGCATAGTCCCCAATAGGCGTGGGGGTAGAAAGGCAACACCAAAGACAGGTGGGGACACGGAACCAGAGGGTGAGGGATGGAGTGGGAACAGGAGACAGGCCAAGACCTAGCAGCTAACTCCATCTATCTAAGCCCAGGGGAGTTCCCACCTGAGGAGTATGAGCTGAGGCCCTTCAGGCAGGTGGACCAGACCAGCTGCTGAGGCACCTAATCCCCCTCTTCTCTCTACCATTTAAGTTGGGGGGGGGGGGTGTTAGGTGGCTCCTGGTCAGCTGGGTGGCTACTGAGGATCCCTTCCTTAGGCACCAACATCTCCCTGTGCATTGCATGGGGCACCTGCGTGTCTAGCGTGGGGCTGAGAAATGCACTGGATGGCAGCCCACCTGTGCATGAGACACAGCAATGCTGAGAGGGACAACACCTCAGTATCCTCAAGGATCTGAGCCCAAATGACTTGCCCAGGACAACACAGGGAGCCAGAGCTGGCCATGGAGAAGTTGGGAATGAAGCTCAACTCTCCTGCAGGCCAGACCAGTGCCATGCCCACAAGCCCAAAGATTTCTTCTCCTGTGCTCTGATGCCAACTGGCCTCAAAAATCATTCAGTGGGCAAGGCCCCTTGTTGGCTTTGGGGAGCACAATGAGGTGTGCCCAGCATACAGCTCCAAAAAACCCATCATCACAGAGTGAAGGGGGCACAGTGGTGATGCCTGTCGTGGTCAAGCCAAGCCTTGGGAATGCCAGGCAAGAGCCAGTTAAAGAACATGCCCTGACAATCTTAACTCTGCCCTCCCCCCCCCCCCCCCCCCCGGAGCCCAGTGGGAAACAGGTGAGCCAGAAACCCTTGAGTCGGCCACAAACCAATCAGCCCACCCCAGAAAATAGAGTAAAAATTAAAACTGATTAAATTAAATAAAATGCCCCAACATGTCAGCACCCCCCACCTCACGAGCAGTCTGCCAGCAGACAGCCTGGTCTCTCCCAGGGTAAGGGACTAGCTGGGCATTGCTGCAACCTCTCATGATTAACTACGTGGTTCCTCTGCTGGGCCAGAGCCATTGGAAGCAGTCAGCCACACGAAGCAGCCCTGTGAGCAGGCGCGTTAGAAGCCCTATAAGCCACAGGCACCTGCTACACCCGCACCAGGGAGCGCTGCATGGACCCCTGCTGCAGCATTGCAAATGCAGAGCTGTGCAATTCACCCCTGGCACAGAGACTAGCTGTGTGCCGCGGAATAGCCCCCTTCCAGCTTTGCTGCGGCCACCTGCGGCACACGGCATCTGCCCAGCGAGTGGTGTAGGCAATACCCACGGGTGGCCAAAGTGTTCGGAGCGCAGCCAATTACAGAGGTGCACGCTGCTGCCCTGTCCAAGCCTGGGCTGCACTGAACAAAGGGCACAACACAAAAAGCTGCCCGGGTGTTTAACCCAGCAGCAGCTGTGTTTTCAGAGCCCACTGGGTGCTTCAAAGACAGCACCCCCACTGTGACTCCCTGTCCCGAAAGAGCTTGTAGCCGCCCTGTGCCCTAGCAGCCCATGCTAGCAGGGCTTGGGATGTGCCCGCCCCTCTCTGGCCAACTACATGCCCCCAAATTCCTGCCAAGTCTGCCTGAGCAGGGTTCGCAGGCACAGCCCAAGAAAGCCCAGCTTTTCCTTCGGTGTGTTCCAAGGCCTTTGCAGCTCTTTGGGACCACGGTGTAACGCGCCAAGGAGCAGCTGGCCCCAGACTATGTGCGAGCCAACCCTTTGGATGGTGTCCTCGGCAGCTGCAGCCTGTCTGAGTGGGGTTGTTGGTAAGCTGACAGGTGAATGCTGGGCACGGCCCCGCAGTGACCAGGTTATCAGCGCAACCCACAAGACCCTTGCATTGCAAGCCCGTTTTCAGATGCTTGTGCAGGTATTTCAGCAACAATGTAAGTCTCTGGCAGGCTCTGGCTTGGGGGGGGTGGGGGGGGGTGCAGGGAACATGGCACGTCAGCCCTGCCCATGATACCAGACTCATACCATACCCCCCTCCGAAACCTTCCCGCTTTGTGCTAAAGTAAGCAGCAGCGCAGTAAACAACCTTGCACTCTGCTTTGTCATTGTTAGGCTTCAGGGTTAACACCCTGCTCGTGTTGAGAGGGACATGCGCATCACATGCTAATCACCTGCACAATTACCGCTCTGTCTGCAATGCTCCCGCTGGTCTTGAAGCATAAGCAGTACAGGGCCCTTAAAAAGCTTCAAGGCTGCAGAACCTGATGAGGCCACCTGGAAAAAAGAAAAGACAAGGCTCTTTTGGCAACACATGGCGTGCTGGTTTAATGCCCTCACTGGTGTTCGGGTGGCAATTTCACTTAGTTCTCAGTCTAAAGGTGAATTTGGAGCCGGGGAGGGGTAGTTGGTAAAATTCCACTGGGTTCTTTTTGCATTTACAGCCTGCCCTTCTCAGGGTTGGGTTGGGGTTTTTTTTTTTCCCCTGCCATTGGTGCATTTTTTTTCTGAGGGCTCAGGACCAGGTAGCGCAACGTCAGCTTATTTTTAGCCTGCCCCTCCTGCCATGGCGTTAAGCCGCAGTGAGGACCCGTGCATGTGCCCTCGGTGCACTTGAGTTTGTGCGAACAAGCAGGGCTGCAAAGCGATCCTACCGAACAGAGCCCAGGGCTTGTCACTCCTGCTGGGTGAACGTCAGGCTGAGGTGCCGCATGTCTGATCCACAGGGCCTTGAAATAATTGCAGGGGCTGCGGACGCTCCCATCTGCAAACACGCTGGCCATGCAGTACCTTTTATTCTAACTGCCAAGAGCCCCCGTTCATGTCACACGCCGGCTGAGATGTCTAAACACAAAAGTCACAGAGTGCGAATGGAGCCACGGCTGCGCTGCGTCTCATTGCTCGCAGGATGAGCTGCAAAGCCACCCTGGCCCTGAATATCATAGTCAGCCTCCATTGGCTCGCAGCACTTTGCAAGTGACCACATAATTCGCACAGAAGATGCGGCCACTGTTGTGATGGGCTTCAGGACAGACCCCCCCCCCCCAACAGAAGGCAAAAGGCCTCACGAATGAGGCACGCAGCAAAATAGTTCTGGTCCCTCTTGCTTGGCATGCCGACTCCATCTGCGTCCTCTCGTGATCCGAGCCGGGGTGATGTCACTAGAACGATGCAGTCAAGGATACCGTTGAAACCGTACTTAGAGTCAAGCCTCTGGGGAATTTCTCAGGCTTCCAGCGTGTGAGTTACCGTAGCACTGCAGAGGTGCAATAGCCGCAGGCTCTGACGGTGACACTGATTAGAAACGACAGCACAATGGGCCCCCACCGCTGCATCGCGCCACTGAAATCTGGGGCCAGATTATTTTTCCCAATTGAGAAAATGGTTTGATGCCGATTTCATTGCCCCCCATGAAGGGGGAGTCAGCTACAAAGGAAAACGCCAGTTTGTCGATTTCCCCTGGGAGGTTGGTCGGCAGGAATCACCAAGAGGATTTTCACAGAGGGGGTTGGGAAGAATTTTCCAAAGGTTATTTAAAGCTTCAGTCTGCTGAACGCCTGCCAAGCCCTGGTTAGTCAGTGGGGACGCCGTCTCCAGCAATCTGGCCTTCACTCGCTTTTCCGCGATGATGCAGAACCCAGCCATGCCTGAAACCGGTCAGTCTGAGCTGGTCACCGTGGGACTGCACCTCGGCTACAATCCCCACATCGTTCCAGGGCCTGACTATGCCAGTAGAACTGCCCTGGCTGCAGGGGTGTAAGACGCAAGGCGGGCCTGCACAGATCCAGTTTATCCCGCTTTGAAACCAGGCTACTCCACGCCGGTGCAAGACCCACTTTCTTGCCTTATACAAGGACGGGAAGCTGGTTGGGGCCAGGGCCAGCTTTTTGTTCTAGCTGGAGAGCAGCGAGCGCCATGGAGCTCGGACGGCTACAAATAAATAAAAGTAAATGGCACTACACTGAGGTCCACCAGCCGAGGCCCTGGCCCACTGTTTGGTGCCATCCTGGCGGCCTCGCTGCACGTCAGTTACAATACGGCGCTTCTCCGTGCTAAGTAATTCTGGCAGCAATCAGTACCCGCCGGTCTGTGGGCTAATGCCCGTCTGTTATGCCAGCGGCAAAAAAAGAAGCTGATTTCAGACAGTCAAAGGCACCAAAGGGCATCTGAAATGAGAGCAATGTCTCTTCTCTACCGGACACAGAAAAACTGACTTTTAGAGTGTTTCTTCAGAAATTCCCAGGACTGGGAATTCAGAACAGATTTGTAAAGCCCCCCCAGTGAGGTGCCACTCGACCGTCTTCACGTGATAGCACCCACAGCAGCCACTGTTCCACTACCTGGGCCCAGACAGCGGCAGGCACTGAGTTAGCATTTCCTAAACATGATGGGCAGAGACAACAGAGCTCTGGTTA